AAAACTTCATTAGTTAAAAAATGGGTGGTGGGGATATGGACCCACAATCATACAAAGATTGATAAACACGAATCAAAACAAGAGCCAACACAATCGAAAGGAGAGTGAAGATTGTTTATGTTGCTGTAACAATTTGATTTGTGGGCTAATGGAGGTGGTGGTGATGGGAGAGAACTAGGATTAGGATTTTTAAGGTTTTGAATATTACAGTCCAAATATTACAGTCCAAATAATATACAAATTCCTAATTAATTAACAAATTAACTAAGAAAGTAAATAAAACTGGCGTGCAAGCCAGGGACTGCCTTGCTCCTGATGAATGATGCATGTCTGCGCTGCCTTGCGCGGAAATCCACTGGGATGCCCCAATTAGCCTCTGTTTACACCTGTTCTTGAAAAGCGTGCCAAGCCTCGAAAAGTTGCTGATTCTTCATTTTGCTGCAACAGAGAGCAGGAAAGGGGCATAGCAATGTATTTTCACAAATATATGCATGCCTCGATCCTCGTGCCACCAATCACGCATATCGAGGCATGATGGCCGAAGAGTCGAATTGCACAATTCAATATAGAATGAATGCACGTATCAACACAACAAAACCTAACTCCATCATGGATGATCCGGAGTGTCGGTGACTGGGGAATTGAGACACATTTCGTCACTCGGAGTACGAAATGCACCTCGTTTCCCGTGCCCGGGCTAACTCCTATCTCGAACACGATGCAATATGCATGATATGCATGAAATACAACTAAGACACAATCCTAACATACACAATTCTATGAAAATGAGATGCCTCAAAATGCGTGCACACGAGCACGCAAACCGAGGCGATGGTATACGCAATGCAATATGGCTAAAATGGCATATAAAATGCAACATGGACTTATACTAACATGAGAGAGCCACAGCCACACTCACATAAGAGGCCGGTGGATGAAAATGAAGTGCCTCGAAATGCGTGCACACGAGCACGCAAACCGAGACAATGGCATACGCAATGCGATGGCATGGAAATAGCATATGCAACATGCTAATGGATTTTCAGCAATGAAAAGTGGGGGAAAACAGCCCCGAAATGAGGCGAAAACACACGATGCAGGGAATAGTCCCGAAATATGAATTTTGGCACCCGAAATGGCCTACAGCTATACCAAACATACAAAATTGGCACATGCAATGAATAGACAGAAGCAAGGCAACCCCTAAATAAGCACTTTTCCAGTTTATATCATGGCCAAAAAGCAAACCAAAACAGGGCAAAACTAGCATGCAAGAAATGGCCCTAAACATGAGATTAAGAAGCAACTCACATCTGCTGTCCTCAAACAGGTTAGGGCCCTTCAACAACATTGAAGAGGGGCTAAAAATAAGCCACTTTACAGAACTGTAAAAACCCTAAAAAGAAACATAGATATGGCTAAGCTTTTGTGCAAGAAAAAGGGCCAAAAGGTGGCCAAAGAGGCAAGTGGTATATGCAAAGCCCAAACTGAAAAATTCCCTTCTACAACATTGAAG